AGGGAAAGAATGGAAATGGGTTATGTTGCTTGGTCATAATGATGGCCAAATAGAAGAGGCTCAGTGCCCAGCACCACAGACTATCAGGAAAAGAGTGGAGAGTGGGAACAATTCCATGAAAGTACATGAATTGTTAGCTTGGCAGTTTACCTTGTTCAAAAAATTGTGATCGCCTTTTTAAGTTTTTCAAAGAAATAGGTTCAGAGGCTAGTTGAAAAAGACAAACACAAAAAAAAACACATCAATACCATGTCATTCATTTTAATCTCTCACCACTGGAAAACTAAACGATACTTAATACATCTTTCCATTCTGTAGCAATATGATTTTTAAAATGATAAAACTGATTGCCATAGAAGATAGGGATTATTTCAATGCACAAAGACACACATAGTTTTAGTAGTCTATACTACATTCAAATTAGTAAAAGGAACTAATATTTTGATTAATAAATTTAAGCAGGTAGCATCACAGTTTCAAAGTAGCTGAAGTAACATCTTCCGTGCTAGATCACACCCCTTTAGGGAAGTGGAAATTAAAATGTTTTTGCTTAGGTTAATCAATTCAAAATCTTTTCTAGTACAGGAAGAATTGTTTGTAACTAAGATTTTTCATAGTACTAGTGAGTAAAAAAGGAACTAAAAATAATGGGGAGGAGGACAAGAAAATAAATATCCAGAAAACAATTCTAAAAAAAACCCCAAATGCTAAAATTAAAATATTCTTCTAACTAGACTATTTTGCCCTAGTTTCCAAGATCTTATAGCCCCTAACTTTACATAAAGCAAATAGAGTTCAATCACATAAAAAAGAAAAAGAAAATATTCTGACTTCTACAGATCTGCCACAAGATTATGGCAAATGATTATCATACTTCAGTTTATTCATAAAATGTAAATGTAATTATTATTTGACACTAGTTGATATTTACTTATCTAAACAAAACCCTCAAATGACAGGGCCTGTGTATCGCCCCATAGTCACTAACAAGCGCTCTGCTGAGTCACAGACAGAACGGGACCCGCACATCTTAGATTAAAATATCATGAAGGGGCTTCCCTGGTGGCACAGTGGTTGAGAGGCCGCCTGCCGATGCAGGGGACATGGGTTCGTGCCCTGGTCCGGGAGGATCCCACATGCTGCGGAGTGGCTGGACCCGTGAGACATGGCCACTGGGCCTGCGTGTCCAGAGCCTGTGCTCCGCAATAGGAGAGGCCACAACAGTGAGAGGCCCACATACGGCAAAAAAAAAAAAAAATATCATGAAGAAAAAAGCAGTCATGTTCACTTTTAAAAACTCCTTTGACAAAGAATGCAATATCAAACAGTTAAAATATAGTCACTTATAATTATCAGAAATTAAATACATAAATAATCAATAAAGGAAGGGAAATTTATAAACTTGGTTTGATTTTGACATAAGGTATTATGAACTGACAAATGCAGATTCAAAACCACCAAACCACTGAGAAAACCTAGACCTGTGCCTGGCAGTCTAGTTTCATGCTAAGAGAAGCTTCATCCTCTTTGAGTTTCTTCCCCTGCCTATGTGGACCAGATCTTTCTTATTTATTTTGTATGCCTAAGCCATAGCACACAGCATGTGGTAGCTCAATTATTTGTAGATAGACAGCAGAAGGAAGGGAGTGATGACTCCATAATGCAAAATTTCCCTAGATGCTATGTCTGCTTTTTCATTACAGATGGGTACTTCTGCTAACAACTGTTACTGCCACTGGCATTTCCTTATTACTAGCTGCTTCCAGGCTTGTCCCTTTCACAACATAAAAGGGAGAAAGGAAACCTTGTATCTAACTAAGATTCCCTTTGCCAGCACACCATAGCGAGAAGGCTGATGGCCTCGGGAAAACCAGTCTTTCTTATTTGGATTAGACACAGAGGCACTCAAAGCTCCTGGACAGGCTGCCAAAGCTTTGTTTGCAGTTCCTGGACTATTCAACACTGGAACTGAATGCCCTTCCACCTGGCTGCAATTGGATCTGTGTGCTAACCTCTGAGTTTCAACTTGCAGTAGATCAGTTTTGCTTTCACTCACAGATATTAATTTTTATAGTAGCAGAACTTGAGTGCAATGACTTCTCCTATATTATAAATGTAAGCTATAATGGTAATGTTTACCTTTTGATTCAAAAGTATTGCTTTCATCACGAATTCCATTGATTTCCTTTGATTCAGTATTCTAGAAAGGATAAAAATGCCAGTGAACAACATTCTCTCCAATTGGACTTCAAGCTTAAATAATGCATTTCTCATTAGTGAAAATATCTTCTAATGACATGAGTTTTTCACAGTATTGATATATTCTTTACAGCCTTTTACATATAATAGAAACATAATTTTTTCATTGTTCTTCAATATTTGTGGAAGAATTAATGGCCAACTGTAAGCATGAATAGCTTTAAGTTCAATCAGTCGTTAATTTTCCAAGAAACATGATGGGCCAAATAATCAAGGTAGCAGGATCTCCTTATTACATGAAAGGGAGCATCTTGGGATAACAGCCATTATATCTCGGGAGTCAATATAAACACATTTATTTGCAAATTTAAATTTAACTATTACTTTGATAATTAGAAAATTTCTACATTATAATTATTTTAAATCAATTAATGTAACTGTGTATCTCTTAACCACATATGTAAATCTACCCATCACATTCACCCACACAAGGACTAAAACCGCTTCATGAGGTTTTAAAACTGCACACAATTACTGTATCTATTTTACCAGTAAAGACTAAGGAAAGCATAGAAAAGTTAGAGTGTATAATTTTACATAATTAACTACTGCACATTCACAAAGATCTGAGAGAGGGGTATAATGATGAAGGATTGGTAAGAAACACCTGCAGGGACTTCCCTGGTGGTCCAGTGGTTAAGAATCCACCTTCTAGTGCAGGGGATGTGGGTTCGATCCCTGGTCGGGGTGCTAAGATCCCACATGCCACGGGGCAACTGAGCCTGCCCATCACAACTACAGAACCCACGCGCTGCAACGAAGAGCCCACCCGCTGCAACTAAGACCTGACACAGCCATAAATAAATTAAATAAATAAATAAATAAATAAATAAATAAATAAATAAATAAATAAAAATAAATGTATGTTTAAAAAAAAACCCTGCAAAACATCACTATGGGATCTTTTGATTTTTTTCATTCTATAACTATTACTCTAAATTATTAATGAGTAATGCCTTATGATTTTCAAAAATATATTTTATTCTCATTACTATAAATTACCTTATTCAATTATCTGTTTTTAAAACAGCATCAAAATTGTTCAAAGAAAGCAGATTCTTTCCCCCCACAAACACACTTCCTATAGTTGCTTTGCTCTACCCAAATACGCCCACTTCTCGAAATACTTACAGAATTCTGAAGGCTTTCTGAGAAATCAGCTGTGATTGATAGACTTGAAGATTTGTCTGAGCTGTAAATTCCAGAAGTTGCATCAGTCCACTTTGTTTCAGGTGAACCTATAATTTTGGTAGCCATACTGGTGAGATTGAGGGTTTTATGCCGTGTAAATGGCAGGGAAGGCTGGTCTTTGCCCCAGTCTGATTGGCACACGAAGATCAAGAAATGAGTGCACGTAAATGTTGAAGTTGAAAGAACAAAGTTACTGAATGTACATATACAAAATACACACACAGAAGACAAACAAGTCAGATAGTGTGTGAAAGAAATGAGTTTAGGCCTTTTACCAACAGATCACCTTCCAGAAACAGAGGGTTAGAGCGTGTTAATGGTGAAAAGACTGGCAAATTTGCTGAATCTTTCTGTAAACCAGGACTGGGTATTATATTTTGATGTCATAAGTTGGTAGGTCTGGGAAGGCTTAATGCCCTTCCGCATCTAACCTCAACAATTAAGCAACACAATAATGAAATGTACATCGAAAGTTCTTCCCGAATGAACAACTGGGATATTGACCTACTGTGCTCTCTCTTATACCAGTTACAGTCATGATGCTGCAGAGGAAGTGAAACCATGGTGTAATTCTTAATATTCAACACCATCATATGACTTCCAAATGCAGATATAATTACAAGAGCCTTCAGCTGATATGTGCATTCAAAGCCAGTCCAGCATATAAATCAGTCAATAAATAATGCAGAATACAGTAAATTTGCTAGTGAAAAGCTTTCAGATAGAACATCCAAAGAAGCATCATTCAAGACTTGTCTCGACATAACCACAAAACATATTTAAGCCAAAAAATAAAAAAGTGAAACGAAGAGAGAAGAAAATGTTATTGAAGCAAGCTGTTATAACCACTTGCCAAAGACCAGTTCCCAATTTAGAAAGCCAAGCACGGTGGTATAACCAACTCACCAGACTTTCCATAGCGCCTGATATCCATTACTAGGTTTCCAGTTTCCTGAGCATTAGCCATGGTTTCCTCCCACTCTTTTGTGTCCTTATATGAAAACTTAGTGTTGTTGATAGCAATAATTTCATCATCTACCTGTAGCTGAGAAAATTCTGCTGGGCTACCTAAATAAAGCAAAATAAATTAAACTACCAATAAAAAATAAAAACATGTCCTACTAGTCACTGCTTATTTAAATTAAGAGAAAAAATGACTTCTTAATCCCACCTAATCATTTCTCATAGTTTTTCAGGTGCAGAGGAGTCACAGAATTTCTTAAAGTTATCAAATATTTGAGTAGCTACAAAATTACAAAGCAACCAAAGGCATTTTTTAATCCTATAGAATGTATCTTCCTTAACGTTTAAAGGGAAATGATAAACCCATCTGTTCAATAAAATTTCTTTATTAACCTCCTAAGAAGAAACTTTTAAATGATTTTAAAATTAAAAATGTGAAATATATATTCCGCTTTAGCTGAGCTTCCAAAGCCAAATGCACTCTAGAATGGAGAACAAAACAGGGCCGCTTAAAATGGCTTAAAATTACTACTTACCGTTATCTAATTAAAGCAGCCTTGAAATTTCAAAGAAATAACCAGAGTTCACATGCATTTTTATAGAGCTAAAGTATGTAAATGAGGAACTCCTCATAAATACAATAGCTTTCATTTTAATTTTAGGTCTTGTAATATTTTGCTAAGAGTTTCTGGGCTTGATTTGGTGGAGGAGGGGCAGTGCTTCTGTAAAAGTCCCAAAGCATCCTCAGGAGTCCTTGGGCAATAGATGCATTAGGACGCTCAGAAAATATTGATTATATAGCACCTATGTATCCATCACAAACACAAATGATCAGGGAAAGTTCTTTCTGGATCTTCAATTTAGCACTGTTTGTTAGTACTTCCAAATATTAAGCCTAAAATTTTGATAAATGAAGTCTGTAAAAGTCACAAAATTACGACTCTTCGAAACTAAAATTAACGAGGCAAGGTCAAACAATATGTAATTTGTAACTCCAACTATCAGTCTCTGGGAAGAGGATGTGCCCTTCACTTTACTGCTGCATTTTTCACATGTGTTTTCTCCTCCTCTATCAAATAAACTAATTTCTGTGGGGGCTTTTTGAACAGCACAGGACAACAAAGGAGAAGAAACTTCAGTAGAGCCCAATCTATGATTTACCTGCTTCGACTGATGCTACGAAGATCCTGGAAAAATCCCATTTTACTGTAAATCCAAAGTCAAGGCTGTTCCCAGGCGTCTGGTTTATGCTGATTCTCATATCACTGAACTGATCCTGAAAACAAACATGAAACGGTGGGATCAAGTGTCCCTGGCACCCACATGGAGGAAAGTCTATCCGTGAAAGAAGGGAGGCTGCACGCAAGGTACACTTGAATTATTTCATGATAAACCGGAAGCTTCATTCTTTTCCCCTTGGGTTTGGTAAAACCTTCACTTACATAAATATCTCTGAGTTTATTATTTTGCTGCTAAAATCAGGGAAATCTTCATATCCATAGATATTTTTCTTCACGTGCATACTATAAATCAGTTGATTTATATTGATAAAGCTTAGGCTTTTGCCCACCATACAGCTGGGTCTAAGTTACAGACCATTTTTTATAACCCAGGAATGAAGCTGAGTGAGAAGATGTGGGGTGATTGTGTGTGTGTGTGTGTGTGTGTGTGTGTGTACACACACGCACACACACACACACACACACACACACACACAATGGAATTCAGCCATGAGAAAAAGGACATCCTGCCATCTGTGACAATACGGATGAACCTTGAGCACATTATGCTAAGTGAGGTAAGTCAGACAGAGGAAGACAAGTACGTATGATATCACTTATACGTGTAGTCTAAAAGCCAAACTCATAAAACAGGGAGTAAAGTGGTGGTTACCAGGGGATGGGGCTGAGGGGACAGGGCAGATGTTGTTTAAGGGTACAAACTTCCAGTGAATAGTAAATGAGCCCTAGAGATCTAATACACAGTACTGTGAGTATAAACAATATCTGATTATAATGAAATTTGCTAAGAGACTAGAACTTCCAACCACTAAAAAGAAAGAATAATTATGTAATGTGAGAGATGTTAATTATCACTACAACAGCAGTCACATGACAATGTATACGTGTATCAAATTAACATGCTGTACCTTTAAAATTTACACATATCTCAAATACATTGCAATAAAATGGCATCTTTGAAAATGCAAAAAAGATTTAAATCATTTATTTTTAAAATGTCACAATACTTAAACTACCTCCAACATTCAATATATTTAGCCAAATAATTTTGAGGGGTTCATAGACACAAAATTCAGCTACCAGAATCACTCATCTAGGACTGGCACCACCCCCGAATGGGTATCTGAAAGTTTGGCAAGGCATTTTTGCTTGTCCTACTGCTGCATGAAGATCGAGCGGTAAAGGCAGAGCTGCTACATATGCTACAAAATGCAGAACTGGGTCATGCCTGAGGAACCACCAGTAAGATGCCAAGAGGGCCCCACTGAGACACCATGAGCTCCAGGCCACAACCTCCTTGAAGTAACAACAGCCCGCAGGCCCCAGAACTTGGACAACAGGCAGACCTCTATTTTCATCTCCATCCCTACAGTCCACAGCCACAAATTCTCAGTTTCACGGACTTTCTTAGGTCATTTTCCAAAACAAATATTTTAAGTTTTACAGTATAGTATACTAGGTCTGTGGAAATTTTAATTAACTGCCATAATTTACATTTTTTGTTTTGGGTAAACAGCAGACATAAATTTTAGCATGTGTTTCCCAGACTAGTGTTTCCAGTTCTTTGATTCATAATTATCAAGAACTTAGACTTAACTGTTTAAAAAGAAAAATTCTTCCTAAAGCCACTTTATTTTCCAGAAAAAGGCCTATAACTCCTCTATTTTAATTTAGCAGTTAAATCCAGACCTAGGACCAACAGGGCAATTCATAAGTTTTTCTACCTTTAGAACAAGTTTGAAATCTAAGTGACTAAATTCTAAGAAACACTGTGATGTTATATAAGAATTAGAAGGAAGACAAGGAAGGCACTGAATAAAGGATCAAGAACTTACTGTACTGTATGGATATGAGCAATAAGTGTTGTAACAATACACACTTACTCATTTGTTCAACATATATTGTGCATCTATTCTGCATAAAACACTTGGGAAATAAAGATGAATTAGGCATGGTCCTTGCTCTCAAGAAACAATTACTGACTCTTCAAAGTGGGTATGGAATTTTTTAAGAAAAAAATTGTAGCTAATAATATAGAAACGTTTTCATCAGACATCATGTAAAGCAGCTGAAATATGGGAACCCAGATGTAGATAGTGAGAACAGTCATTAATGATCAGCCTGATGGATACCAATCTCCAGAGTATATCAAAACTCTGCTATGAACAGAAAAAATTACTGGTTAGTTCTACTCCTTAACCAAAACCACCACACACTTAAATTAGAGATGACTCAATGAAAATAAACAGTCATCTTCACCACTTTTACCCCACTCTACTCCCCCCGCCAAATTCTGACCTAAAGCCAATTAGGGTGCAGAATCTATTGCTATATAAGGGCACAGAGCAAATGATGGGTTAGAAATTCCAAGACACTAATTGAGGTTTTTTTATCTTGAAGAATAAGAGACAGGATGGAGTTTTAATAAATAGTTTCAAACTACAATAAAGAATACTTTGTGGGAGGGAGCAAGTGAACATTATCCTTTTCCACCAAACATAGGATAAAGAGAATGAGCTTAAGCTCTAGATGGCAGAGTGTCACAATTGTATTAGACCAGAAGAACTGTCCTCCAAAGGACTGCTCTTACCTTGGAGATAAATCTCTACTTGAACAGAATAAAAAGGCAGATAACCACCTCTCTGAAAGAGTTAATAGAGGAGGTCAGCCTTACCGTGGCTACAGCCTGGCAGCCTGTTACGTGGGTCCTGGGAGTGCACACAGGCAAAGGAGAGAGAACCATGTGAGCACTTACAGGACTTTTTCTGTCAATGGCCAGGTGGCCTCAGGCATGTCACTGAGTCTGCCAGAGAATTTTCTCTCACAGTGACATTAATTTTAAAGCTTTCTGTTTTCAAAACCCTATCTTCCAATGCAGACCATCTCCCTCCCACACCACAGAAAGGATTAAAGTAGGTGGTGGCTGTTCAGGGAAAGGGCCCCAGAGGCCCCTCTTGCATGGCCTCCCCGCCATGACAGTCTCTCTGGCATCTCTGTGGAATCCTGGGTTCTTGAATTAAATTATCCTTGAGACTTTTTGCAGGTGAATATATCTATAATTATAGTCAAGCATAAACTATTCAACAATGATTAGGATTTCTACTTCCTTATTTTTCCTTGCAAGATATATGCCATGTGAGTATTCTACAAAGGGCCCATGTTTCAGAAGATGACACTGTGGGAATTTCCTTTTGAACTGGATGGAACCAGGAATATAAATTATTGGGAGAAATCTAGATTCTTGATGACTGATAAAGAACTATCCCACCGTGGTTACAGCTGCCTATTCTGGGAAAGATAAAATACAGTTACCAACATATCAGCATCTAAAATAAAAATAACTTCCCTCAATTTAGGTACAATTTAAACAGAAATATACACTTAAATCCGAGATTTTAAAATAATGACATGGTGATCTGGCATAGCAATGGTAAGATGTACTTTTATGAGATCTGATGAATTAAGATTCTCGTATCAACACAGATGGGAATCAATAAACAACAGGGTCGATCAGATGGCCATTCTCCTCAAACTTTTTCAATTAGATAAACATGTTCCCTTAAAGAAAGCCCACTGAAGTTGATAAAACCAAGTAACACTGAAAGTAGATTCAGGCTGTAAAATCACAAATAACAGAGGAAATATATAATCTTTGATTTTTGTTACACAGCTCTTTAGTTTGTTTTTCCAGGGTCTTAGTGGAACGAGAACACAGTGAGTAGCCCTCAACTCATGGTGCAGCTCTGGCACTGGAGCTGCTCTCCCTCACCAAAGATGGGTCTATACCTACTTGTTTCCCCTCTCCACTATCCGTTCCAAAGAAGCAGGTGGTGTTTCCAGCTCTACCACTTGACTCAACCCATTCCCCAGCCTAGCTCTTACCTACCAAATCCATTTTCGGCCCTCATCCCATCAGGCACTATGAACTATTCTTGCTTACGGGAAACGGTCTTCCAAGTCACCCATTATTCCACTTTCTCCGGCCTTTTTCCTCTATCCCTCTGGCCACCTCTCAGTTTCATTCGTGTGTTTCTCTTTATTCTATTTTCTCTTTGTTGCTCTTCTTCACCCCTAGTCAGTCTCCCACCTTCTTGACCACATGTTTTCCTGAGTCAACTGCATGCATTGTCATCAACTACTATCTACGCCCAACAAACTCAGAATTAAATTCATTATCTTCCTCCCCAAACCTGCTCTTCCACCTCTTGCTTTTCACATGTTGGTTAATCGCATCACTGTCTAACCAGATACCCAAGCTAGAAACATCAGGTTCTTTCTGGGCCTCTTCCTCCTTCCTTCCCCTAAGTGCTCCCCACACAACCTCTACACAATGGTCTCTCAAGCACCACCACACACATGCACTCAATAAAGTGTCAGCAAGTCCACAAGCCATAAATCCATCTGGAACCATCCCATCCTTCCATTCTCCTTCAGGCTCTCATCTTAACTCAGGTCACGGTTTCCCCTCTAAATTGCTGTGGGTCACCTCCTAATCGGCTCTCACGCCTCCAGCCCTTCTTTCCTCCCATCTTGCTCACATCTGCCAGAACTTTAGTTATAGAAAATACCAATTATTATATCATACCCTGTTTTAAAATTGCTGGTAGCTCCGTATTGCCTGCTGGGTAGAGTTTGAAGTCTGCACCTCAGAATTAGATTCAGTTCGGGTAAGTTTTGATAAATATCTACCTTTCCTCAAAATAATTTTAAGAATGATTTTCTCTTTATGAACCAGAAGATATTTCAGTCCATATTGGCTCTAAAATTCTAGAGACATGGCCAAGTTAAATTAAGTCAACATTTGGTGTTTTAAGGCAGTTCTCAAATTTAAGCATGTCACATTTCAAAAAAAATTGGGGTCAGAGAAGTTGCAAATGTGGCCTAGGCATTTAACTAGCCTAGGGTGTGTTACATAACTTTCAACTCTCAAGTATTTCACTGGTGAAAGTGAGGATAATACCATCTACTTTGCTAGGTTATTGAGAGAATTAAATGAAACATTTTAAGAGGTGCTGAGCCACATGGTTGATGCCCAGTAATTATCTTCTTTTTCCCATGGAAACAATGTTATACATGGTAATATATGCTGGTTAGGCAGTTTCCAGATCGACTAAAGAAAACCCTATTTAACTCTCACGCATGTAGCTCTAAAGCTAATAGAACTCGGTCAGCGTTCAATGTGTAATTACAGATCCAGGCACCGTACTAACACTGAGCACAACAGGCTTGCTTCCTACCCTTAGATAGGGTAGGGGTCTAGTGAAGGTGACAAGCAAGTAAAATGCACAGGAGGTAGAGGTGATAAGGTAAACCCTGGGTACTCTTAAAAGAGGTACTCTTGTAGACTTGGGCATTAGGAAGTGTAAAAAGCTTCCTTCCTTCCACATGTATCATCCTATTTCTGGGTTCTGATTTAAAAATCTGGGGCAAAGGTCCTGAAATGTGGATTTGGATGAGATTTGGGTGCAGAGGGCTTGGACGAGACAAAACAAAAGAAAACCCTGTATGCAACACCAACGTGGGGGAAAAGCCACATCTGCGAGGCAGTCGGAGAGGGACGGAGGACTCTGGGAGTCCCACTGCCTCCCCTTGCTCGGGTGCCCCGAGAATTGCCCTGGCAGCCCAGACTGGCAGGGGAGGCCGGGAAAGAAGCAGTACCATAAGAGAAGTCTGTGAGAAAAGGGAAGAGAGAGAAAAACAGAACTCCAGACTAGCAGTGGAGGTGAGAACGAAATTCCTAGGCAGATTTTAAACGAGGTCATTTAAGTTCTTCCCTCATTAAGTCTTTGCTTCTTTATGCCGTGAACTCCCTTCTTACCACAATTTTGTGAGAGGCTCCTAGCCCATCTCTGCCCCCAGATTTCGCCTCCTTAAAATAATTCTATATAGCATCACAGTGCTCACATTCCTAAAACACCCCTTAATCTTAAAGAACCTATAAAGACCTAAATTACCTGCTGAATCAAGTTCATACTTCAGTCTAGTAATCAAGGCCTTGAATGGAATTCAAGTCAGTAAATACTTAAGTGCCAACTACTGGTAAAGGCTATGGAGGGTATAAACAATACCAGAGAAGGAGAAACGAACATATGGAAAAGGAAGCATTCGGTGAATGAAACTTGCAAGGGTAGGAAGTTCAGTTCCAACAAGGGGGAGGCGATCTCTTGATCCATGAAGGAACCGAGCCTCCTGTGCTTTGAAGGAACAGGAGAACTTCAAAATACAGAGATGGGTGAAATGAACATTTTTAAATAGGGCAACAATAAGAATAAAAGTATATATGATGTGTTCATGAAAGTATAGGGTATGTTCCAGAAAAATCAAGCAGTCTCATGTGGCTAGATATCACCTACTTCCGCTCCCTTTCTCACAACACAGGGCAGTGGAAGCAATCTTGAGACAAACTAACTGAGTTCAAATCCTGACTCCACCACTCGGTATGCTGCATGGCCTTGGGCAAGTAACATGACCACTTCATGCCTCCATTTTCATGGCTACAAAACAGCAATAAGAGGGTCACTGTGAGGATTAAATAAAATAATGCCTTGAGAAGCCTGGTTGGCATAGCTGCTACTCGGTAAACATTAGCCGTTTCAGCGCTACAAAGGGAGTTTGGGAACAGTCATGAGAGACCTCGGTGTTCCCCTGAGTGCTTTGAACTTCACTGAACAGACCACAGCATGCCACTGGGGGCTTTGAAGCAGAGAAATTACCCAGTCCAGCCTGGCATCATGCAAATTAATCTGGTGCCAGCCTTGTGTAGAATGCACAAAGACATGACTATTTACAAAGTGTTTGCATGGATGAGGGACAAAGCTGGAATTAGGGTAGCAGAAGCAGGGATAGGAAAGGGTAACAACATCAAGGGAGATGCTGTAGGAAGAAATGAAAGGACCCTGCCAGCACAAGTGTGAGTAAGGAAGAGGACCTGAAGAACCCTCTTCTACAAAGCTACCAAGACGTCTACCTGAAACTAATATCATATTGTAAATCAAGTACACTTCAATTAAAAGAGAAAGACATCGGGCTTCCCTGGTGGCGCAGTGGTTGAGAGTCCGCCTGCCGATGCAGGGGACGCGGGTTCGTGTCCCGGTCCGGGAAGATCCCACATGCCGCGGAGCGGCTGGGCCCGTGAGCCATGGCCGCTGAGCCTGCGCGTCCGGAGCCTGTGCTCCGCAACGGGAGAGGCCACAACAGTGAGAGGCCCGCGTACCGCCAAAAAAAAAACCAACAACAACAAAAAGAGAGAAGACATCTAGATGTTCAGCTAGACACCATTTTCTATTTTTCTGAACTCCTAGAACTAGGTAGTTTGGAGGAGTGTTGCATACGCCCTGGCCGTACTGGTCCTAGCCTGTTCTGTGCATTCCCAGCCCTTTTCCCAAGTCAGTAAGCTCCTTCTCAGTGACAAGAGCAGGGTGATGCTACATAAGCTACTTTCCTTGGAGTGCAGAAGTGGACACACCAAGCAACTCAGGGATAGGCAAGTCACCATATGATATATACATTTGTTCAAGAATTCCAATTGCTCCACTTATTAAGTCAAGCCTAATTTTGCCCGGTAGCATTCCATTTCAAGTTGGGTGACTAAAGAGCATAAATCCACCAATGATAAAACCTGAAACCACGCCATGTTAACTCACATTCCTCTGAACTGCTCTAACCTGGAAGCCACACCCACACCCTCTTTTTCTTAATCCACTGATGCAGCTAGTCAACTGCCACACTGAAGGAGTTACCACCACTGAGCACACAGTACAATAATCAGGCTGTTTCGTGGGATTTGCTATTTGAAAAGACGAAGGCAAACAGGCAAGTCCATAAAAGAAAAGACACCTTGCTTTTCTCTTTATTGTTCATCCACTGGTACCTTATGTTCCCCAAGTATAACAGAGGCTACTGTCCTCATCCACTGAGACTTATGATGCTAATTACGTATTCCCAATTCTTTAAAAGTGAAGTTAAAAAAATAATTTACAACCAATGATTTTAGCACCTGAAGCGACTGGATTTAGATATGTTTGTAAATATACATGGGAAAACTGAAAGAAATATATCTAAATGCTACAGAATATCTCTAAATGATGGGATTACCAAGTCAGTTTTATTATGTATGTTTTCCTGCATTTCCAAGTTTTCTCAAGCACAGAGTACTTTATAATCACAACGAAAAAAAGCTTACTTTAAACTTGTAAAGCTTTCCTGTACTAATAAAAACTAACGATACTAAAATATGCTGTATCATATTTTACACAAAGATATTTCATTAATATAACTTGGGCCGAGTTATATACTTGATGTTGTGCCTTGGGAAAAAAAATACACTTTAGTAAAAGGCATCGGAAAATGCTAGACTAAGCCACAGAACCATAAAAGCATCTCCACACTAAGGGGTTCATACAACTATCAAATTGCTTATTGAAGGTTTTTCTCTAAAAGACGAAGAAGTTTCTTTCTGTTCTCTAGACAAGCAACAACTCTTTAGCCTACGTGTAAAACATAACTAAAAGAACATTCATTACCTAATAATTCTCTTAAAGTCATCTGTGGGATTTTAAGTAGGAAAAACTACAAATGCCCCCGGTCCTTTTTCATCTGATGGTATATTTTATTTGGGCTCCGAATGTTCAAGAACACAATTGTCATACTGTAACTAAGCCTCAATATTCCCCTTAAAAGACAAGGAGTGGTACAAAATTCTAGGCTCCCCAAAGTACAAATTAGTATTGAAAGCCACTAGGATTTTTCATATGGTAGAGAAAGAAGTTCCCCGTCCTTAGTGGCCAGCCCCTCTCATGTGTACCAGTTTCTCCTTGTAGTCAGTTCACTTCCCTGAGAAGGGGCTTTTATTACCCATTTTCTATTAGACCTGCATCTAAAACCTCCTGAGTGACTCCTGCACCCGAACCCGGACTACTGAGTGCTAACGGTGCAAGGCAACAGCTGCTGAAATGGGGAGTAGAGAGCAAAGCCAGCCAACTCCAGGGAGACTGGTCCAAAAAGTCTCCATACACCCATACCACAAGGGTCATCTGGATCCATCAGTTCAGAGTTGGAAGAGATCTACTTCCTCCAAGATCTGTTACAAATAAAATGCAATGTCATTTTCTACATTATCAGCCCAGACTGTAGTGCCTAGAGGTGGTTTCCTGATTTAAATACTTACGTTTCTGGGCAGCAGGTGATTGAAAAGCCTTCCCAAACTCACCTGTGATCTTGAGACCTCTGTCTGTGGTGAGCTTCTCCCTTCTCCAAGCTCAGACGTTAAATCAGGGCTAGATGTTGGAGATAACGTGTCTTTCGAAGTGGCAGCCTGGCCCTGGGAAGGAGATGTGAAGGTGGGTGTAGGAGAGAGCAGCCTCATCACACTTTCTCTGGATGCTGCTGCCTCTCTTTCGCTGGATGACCTGGAAGCAAACTGGCTCGTGTCAGGTCTTTGCACAGAGATGCTGACCGAACTGCTTTGGGTTCTCTTAATGCCTTCTACATCTCCATTGTACTTCCAAGCGTCATCCATCTAAATAGGAAACATCATTTTAAACTTTGTATTCTGTTAGATTTCTATTTAAAAAGCATATACATTAAATTAATACTTTAAAGTAATGAAAGTAATATGTACCTCCCTCAGCAAAGTAACTACTACTAAAAGCTTGGAGCATGTTCTTTCACGCTAACAGATCTGTACATATGAAGTGGTAGGAGTAGTTATTTTTTACAAAAGTGTTTATTTTATAAACAGACCTCTGAAACTTGCTTTGACCATCTACATCACTCCAGGTCCACAGACAGAAATCTAAACTAGATCAACTGAATACTTCACACTATGGATCTCTACAATTTATTCATTTGATATGCATTCAATGTCATTTAAAGTGTACCAAAAATATTGCACATCTCTTTATAACCAGAATGTTTATTTTTATAGCACAGATTCCCAAAAGTAGACTTGCTGGACCAAAGAATATTTTATATATGTAGTATAAAATATAATTTTTATATATATATATATATATCTTTAAAAATTGTAGCAATGCACTTCCAAAGTAATGTATAAGAATGTCTCTGTCCCTGCATCCTTGCCAACACTAGACGTTTTGAATGTTTTAAATCTTTGTCAATCTCATGGGTGAAAAGTTGTACACCTCATTCTTGCTCTAATGAGACTGAACATGCTTCTATATACTTTATGTTACCAACCATTTAAATTCCCTCTCCCTTGAACTATTCATTTCTATATTCACTTTTCTACTGTTTATCTTTCCTTATCAATTTGCATTTTAAATCTTAGGGATATTAAACCTATATATAAAATACATTTTACTAATATTTTTCTGAGCCTATATAAATTGTCTTTTGGACTACATTAATGGTGTCTATCATATAAATTTAATTTTTATGTTGTCAAATATGCCTGTATTTACTTAATATAATGGTCAGCGGTTTTTCTGGCTAGTTTAGGCAGGCTTCCCTCACCTTGAATTTTTTTAATCAAATGTTTTCTATTTTCGAGTTTTAGGATTCCTCACTGGCAGAGGTAAAAGGAATTTGAACACCAATGTGCTCAAGACTGTATTGCTTCCTTTTAAATAATTCAAAATAATACACTCACTTTCAGCCCTGCTTCATTTTCAGGGCAAATGAGTCTATATCCTTTAAAACCCCAACAAAAATATGTATTTTTTGAACCATGAGATACATTTTAATAACTACAATCAAATATATCAAGTTCTAATGAAGTGGGAAATCAGGAAAAATAAAACTTTGTGCATAATCACCTGAAAATATTTAGGTTAAACCACATGAAATTGCTGTTTTGTAGGTCAAAAAGAACCGACTATTGGCAACTTCATACAGTGCAACCTAATACTTTACAAAAGATATATTTGAGAAAATATGACACTAAAAAATAAATGCTCTGCCTTAGAATGTAGATTACTTATTTTTTAAAATGTAGCAGCTCAACTTTCATTGAATTTAAAGTTTAATCAGTTCTGCATCGTTGCTATATTTTAAGCATTAAATGTCTATTGAACCTAAATTGGTAAAAATACAATTGCTTTATATACAAGTTATATACATTTTACCCATCGAGTATCTGCAACTCAAACCTCTGCACAAGTTCACCGGTATTTTGCGCTGGCGAACAGACTAAGTGAAGGATAAACACGTTTACCGTGTAGGATCTCGGGAGTGATGAGATTCCCCTTGACTGAGATCCAAAAGGTCTCGGTGTGACCACAGACGTTAACCTGGCCGCATCAGTTTTCTGGTAACTTCTAGGGAGAGTAGCTGAAACTCGAGTCGACTCCATTTGTCGTGAATGCTGAGAAGACAAAGAGGCTGGGCGTTGTTCTTCCACGGGGCTTTTCGAAGGAAGCTGAATTTCAGCTGTGATAGTAGCCTCTCTTTTTGCAAAAGTTGTAGAATCTTGCTTAGGAATTTCCGTCGGATAAGTGGTTCCCTTCTCTTCTACTCTCTCACTCTGGGAACTTGCTTCTGACATAGTCAGCACAGGGGGAAGCTTTTCTTCATTCACTCCATCATCAGAAGAATACAGTCTCCTCCTCGATGTAATTGTAGACATCTGATTTGGGGATTCCCTTAGCAGAAAGAAACGCCAAAACCACAAAGTTAGGCATTTGACACACAGAGGTGGAGAGACAGGTGTTACTTTGGTCATTAACATAACAAAATGGGTGGGAACAAAAAGACTACTGACTTCATATCATAACACAACATTAAGAGAATGCGAGAATAAATACATGCAAATTTTTTAATGTCACACTAAGAAAGATTAAGAGCTTGACTTTTTTTTCTTAAAGAGGTTAAAAAAAAAGTCCCTGAAGTATATGCAGTTGTAAAGAGACTTTAATAAGAAAATAAGAAAACTTTAATAAGGGATTATTCAAAATTTCATCCACAAGTATATAACGCTTCCAAAATTAACACACTATAATGATAACTAATTGACGACCAATTTGAACCCTCCAGAGATGTGGATTTCTTAACAGGGTTGAGAGTTTTCTTGTACACAGTTTGTAATAGCTTCATAAAAACAGAAGATCACAAAAGACTCAGACTTTCATTAAGATCAAGTTAGTATATAATTTCATACAGCTTGATAGAATTTCCATGGACAATTATTGCAGATTAAAAGTCACCATTCCTGTCTATAGAGAGGCTGATGAAACAGTCTCACGGCTACCATTTAGTAAGGAGTACCTCTCAAGCCAACTGCATTGCATTTAAGTGAATGAAACTGTGTTTACCATTGGCTTCTAGGGGACAAAGGAGCTTGGCTTAATTTCACCTGACAGCACGTTTCCTTTTTGACATTATCCTTAAAGCCTATTTGCCTTCTCCCTGACCTGTAAATATCTCAAGGTTTCACATGGTAACTACTCCACAGGCAAGTATAAATTGGACCTTTATCCTGTTATGTTGCAATGAAAAAAAATAAACCCTCACATTGATGTTTATATAGTCTTCCTTGAAAAATACAATTTTAGTTGCACCACGAAGCCATGAAAAAGAACTTTGCTATACTTTTACACAATTTAGTTAAGAGAGCTGGTTTTATCCGACCATTCCATTCCTAAATTTACTTTAAAAGGAGGAAAAGTTGTTTATTTTCTGCATATATAGCCAATCCTGCATGTGAATATACAATGTAAAATGAAGAAATTACGTACACCACCCTTAAGTACTCATTTCTTTCATTAATCCAAGTCACTACTTATTACAGCAACACACTGCTTTTTCACTGCAGAGCAAAATGCTCGAAGGTTATGCACATTTGATGACAGTTTAATATTGGTGCACATGTACATCTCACTACCCTTACACAAAATATCTACTTCTAACACTGGTATCTCCAACCCCGAGATGCATTCAGCCTCATTACCTGTCCTGCAGCATTTCGTTAAATGTCTTAGATCTTCTCTCAGACTTCTCAAGCGACTGCTTCTCAATCTCTTCCCTCTCTTCTTTTTTCTTCTGCAAATCTGAAGTGTAGCTTTTCCGACGATCTTTCCATTTTGCAAGGTCCTGACAGAAGAAAATCACATCAGCACAGGCACACCTGAATTTCTACACACCCTCTCCAGCAGTGAGAGCGCGCCAGAGGATCCCATTACATCGCTGAAACTATTCACTCCAACTTTGATGCCAAGGTGCCCTAATTTTGCTTTTTATAGCCAGCGTTTCTGTACCAAGCCTTTTATCTCATGTATCTGTCTAAAAGCCCTGACCTAATAAGATAGACCCCATTTTTGTTTTCCCAGGTAGCCTGCCTCACTTGCCCATTTCACAAAGAATGCTAAACGCTTGTAATTAGATGCCAGGTCAGAGAAGATCAGGAACTGTCTCAAATTCATTTCCATCTCACTCCAATAATCTGGCTCTTACACAAAATGACATGTTTCACTAGTCAGACTGGAAGAGAAACGTGCTTGTAAAATGGCTAAAGGTAGAGGCATACATTTAACAAATACTGAGTTCAACCCCTACTTTGAGACAAGGGGGCCACAAACACACAGATGAATAAGGTGCACTTCCCCTCAAGGAACTCTCAGTCTAGAGGGAAAGACAGGTAAATAAAGTTCAGCAATGAGTGTGATAGGATTGCGTGACAGAGCAGGGATCCAAAGGAGAAAGTGCTCAATTCTATCCCAGGCAGGGGAAGGCGGAGTTTGGAAAGGCTTTAATGGGGAAGCCAGCCTCAAGTATGTGATTTCAAAGTGGGTCAACTCCCCATAAGGACAGGGCAGTAAGGAGGATTACACAGGAACAAGTGGACATCTGCTTCCCATACATCCAGGAACCTAAGTCTCACCTAGTTGGGTGACCCCAGGACAATCAACCTAATTCTCCTTTAAAATTAGTCCTAGCAGCCTAAGCTGGTTCTGACACCCAGGGGTGAAGACAGTTTGGATGGTACCAACTTTTCTATGTCATCAAAACAGAGAAATCCCATGCTAAGAACTCCTAGTGGCACTGCAGCCCCAACAGAAGCTCATGTAAGCTTCTCAAACTGAGAGGAACCTCATCCCCAGGGCACATAAAGTAGGTGTGGTTTATGCCCTTTGGGAGCAGACAGGGCCTTTCCTGCTTCAAAAAACAGCCTGAAATCCATAAGAACTATTTTCAGAAAGAACAAAAGCAGTGCACATTAGTCCTACAAGGTAACCAGCATGAATTTTCATCTGACTTAACCTAAGGGATAACCCCTCCATGCCTCTCATTTTCAGCCTCAGTCATCATGTATTTTGGCAAACTGACACTGAATTTCTGTTTCTTGACAATTAAAATGAGTTCCCAAATAAAAGAGGAACTGGAATTTAGAAACGTGACCAAGGCAGAGGTTTCATCTGTGTTATGTAATCTTTAACTGCTTGGAAAATTAAGATTTACTATCTCTAGCCCTTTTGTTTATGCTACCACTCAACCCTCTTACCAAAAGGTTGTCCTCAGACTTCTTTGGGTCTGCTCTGTGTAGTTTATCTATCGTATTTCTTTACACTCCTTTGGTGTAAAACAATTAACGCTTTTTAAAAGGGTAGAGTTCCCTTCTGCCGGGGACAAAACTAAAGGTTAAATCTTTATCCAAATAGACATCTGGATATATGTCAGCGCTGTAAAAACACCTAATTTTGATTCACATTAGATAAGTGCTTTTTCAACCAAAATATTACTGAGTTATAATTCGTATTTCTCCCCAAACCTCCTCCATTAACTCTAAGAACCCTTTCCTCTCTCCCTGCTGATACCCAGTCTCTGGGCTGGACCCTCTGCTCCCCGTTCTCCCTAAACCTTGAGCAAAGTGTTTCCTTTCATGAGCATCGGTAACAGTCACACGCCAAGTTCAACCACCAAAGCAAGTAAACAAGTTACCTATACTGCACGGAAGCAGCTTCTCATTTTTGAGAACTCACAGAAAATATTAGAAGACAAACGGCTTCCATTTTACACAATGGCCTTTAAGATATGTAGCAGTAATAGACCAAAATGGTTAAAACATCCCATTTTCTACAGAACTGAAATCTGGGATAGCAAGGAAAATCGTCCCTTGAGCATACTGACTCTCTTTTTAAAGAAGGAAGAGTCAAACAAATACATCCTCCCTGCCTCCCCATCTCCCAATAAAAATAATACTCACATCCTGCCATTTCTGATCTTGTTCTTTTAACTGTGACTTTATTTTCTGCATCTCCTCGTAACGCAGCTGACGGAAGTTCTGAGCATCCTCTGCGCTGACATCACTCATGGACTTGCTCCTACGACAAAAATACCCATGGTAACCAAGGTTCATGTGACCGGATTTAAGGTAAAACTGGAAGGTTGGGCTTATATTTGGAAATTCCATCTAAAATTCTGCAGTACTACCTAGATGCTTTCGTGATAATATCACAGAAATAGCACTACAGAGATAAATGGTGTTTTTCCAAAACGCAGAAACAAGAGCCTAGCACTCAAGTCAAGCGTGAATTCTTTCACAAAATGGCTAAATGAACCCTGAACAAGTCTGAAAAAATAATCCAATGTTCATATTTAGGTAGTCGATGCAGAAAAAGATTACTTTAGGAAAAAAATAATTATTAGTCCCTAGAATCACCTGTCTTTATTTTTCTATCTCCCCCAGAGATAATCTTTTAAGGTTTGGCTGCCTTTTCTGAGCACTTATTAAATAATTTAACGATTACCTGATATTTTCTCCTCAAGTTCAATACCAGGAATAAATGTGCCACTGCTTCTCAAAGATTCTATAACATCTGCCCCACTATTGCACTGGGCTTGGTCTCAAAGACCACAGGTGGTTTCCAATAGCCAGTTACAATCTAACCTCTATTATAATCCTCTTTTTTGTTAAGGCAGCTTTCATTTTGTCCAGGTGTGACCCCTGCCGTGAGGATGTACTGCGGGTTAGGTCTCAAAGAGCTCAAGCTAGAGTAGTTTGAGCAGAGTGGGGTGCCGCCCATGAGGCACGTGTGCTGTACGCACACAGAAGGGCATGGTGAGCTACACCAGAGAAGGGAGACTGAGGGAGGCCTCCAGGAAAGAGGTGTCAGATCTGAATACTGAGTAGCAGCTAGGAGGAACGAGAGAAGAAGAGAGAGACACAGAGCTTTCAAACGTGGGGTGCCCAAAATGTTCTTTCCTACCAAGCTTTCAGAATTTTTATTTCATTGTAACTGACTCCACTTTTAGTTATTTAAGTAACTCTCCCTCGCCTTCTTGAGCCCCTAAGTTTGCCTTCCCCAAGATTTTGCCATCACCACATTTTTTTAATAACATGCTTGCCCTTAGCCAGCTCAGGAATTCAATTACATTCTCTATGCAAATGACTCCCCCATATCCACGGCCTAGGCCCAGTCTCTCTGAGTCAATTCCAATTGCTTGTTAAATAAACATCTCTGCACGGCCACCGTAAAAGGACCAATGGAAATAATACCTAGAAAGGATTTTGTAAATGGTAACTTACTAAACACATGATAACTGTTGATGTAGCCAAACTCAATTTTGTCTCCAAACCTGCTTTTCCTCTTATCAGTGATGCTACCTGCCCCCAATTACCCACATTTGAAACCGAAGAACCATTTTTCACCTTTCTCTCTCCCTTCTCCCTAGTTATCAAGTCCTCTTATTCAGTGTCTTTTTCTTTCCATTTCTTTTGCCAACACCCTAGATCAGAGCACAGTCAACTCTTACCTAGACTTTTTAAAAAGCTTCTTAAATTATCACCCAGGCTCCAAATCCAGTGAAGGTCTCTCCTGAACTCTTCCCTCCAACTTAGAAACCCTTCACCAGTACATATGCCTTTTAAAATGCCACTCATTCCTCAGGATCCCTGCAAGACTATAGTCTGGTTGGGTGCGTGCAACTTCCTGTTCATTCTCTGCTTAGAAGTCTCACGGGCAACTCATACTTAACTTGACAGACCAAAAACATTGTCTCGCATCTCCCTCATCTCAATAAAAGCCAACTCCATCCTTTCATATTATGGATCAAAGATCTTTAAGTCATGCCAGATTCCTCATTCTCTTATACATAACTGATCCCGTCAGGAAATCCTGTCCCTCTACCTTCTAAATACATCTAGGGGCAACCACTTCTCACCACCTCCACCATTGCCATCCTGATCCAGGCCCTCCTATCTCCTGCCCAGATTATTACAATAATCAGTCTCCCTGCTTCCACCACTTTCTGCACAACAGCGTATTCTCAACATAGCAGCCAGAAGGACCTTTTTTGAAATTGCACTCAGGTCGTGACATAACTCCACTCAGCACCCACCAGTTTCTTCCCATCTCACCTGAGATAAAAGCAGGTTCTTCCAAGACCTTCAAGGTCTGACACTACCTGGCCCCTTGCCTACCTCTCTGCCCTTGTCCTCGCTGAGCTCCCCTTCACACACTCTGTTCCAGCCAACTGGCTTCCCTGCTCAGGCCCACCCTCTTCCCTCCCTGCTCTTAATCTACCTGGAATGCCCTTCAACTGAATATCCACAAGGTTTATCTCTCACTTCCCGTCAGCTGCTTAAATGTTACCTCGGGGGTTTCCTCCCCTGACCACCCTACAAGACGAACTAACGCCCCCGCTCCCCTGACTCACATTATCCCTCGTTTTCTCCATAGCATTTATCACCATCTGAATTGTATGGTTACTTACACATCACCTGCCTCGCCCTGTAAGATTATAAAGCAGGAATTTTGTCTGACTTGTTTGCTGCTGTATCACCAGCGCCTAAAAGAGTGCCCAGCCCCTGGTAGGTGCTCGTAAATGTCCTAATGACCTAGATAATCTTCTCCCACTTTGATAAAGTCTTCCTGCAAAAAGTGATGCTTTAGTTATACCATTCTTGTGGCACTTAACACTCAGCATTATGTCATATGTAGTGTGCAAGCATGCATGCATGTTAAGCTTTCCTCCCTCACAAGTTCACGTGCTGCCTGGAAGGAAAACACATTAACGGGGCACAAGGCATGCAGGACACATTGATTTAACATCTGTGGTAAGAATGAGCTATGATTTAGCATATTTAATCATGCAAAATAAACTAGCTATGAAATGTTTCTAATTTTGTAAGAAATTGTGGCTCCTCCCCAAAGTTTTATACAGAAAGCTTTATAGGATTTATTCAAGAATATTAAGGAATTACATATATGAGTACATATATGAAATTATATATTGAGCTGTTAACATCATATATAATTAACTAGGTATGACTATATAAAAATCGTCATATGATTTGAGGATATAAACTCACTTAAGTCATAACTGCAAAGAATAAGGCTATATGAGCTAATACAATAACAGACTCACTAAAAAGAAAATTTTTTTCAGGACGAAGGTATGAGGGGAATCTGGATGCCCAACACATGAGGTTACATAAATTCCAGAACAAAATTGTAAATGTAGATATTTTAAGTAATCTTTTGGTGGGAGGAAGGCTGGACAGTCTCAACTGGCCCAGATCCTTTCAGCCCTCACCCTCCTGCACTATGAAACCTTAACGTGTGCCTTTTCAGAAAACACGGTATCACCATGGGCAAAGGCTGCATCACCCTCCGGGGAGCCCAAAGCACAGAGCCTGGCACACAGGAGGTCCCCCCAATATGAACAAAGTGAGCCAAACAATGGCTAGAGTAGACAAGTCCCTGTGGAAGGCAGGAATATGAGCCCCTTGTGTTCCCTGGGATTGATAAAGTTACCTCTAGAAAGCCTGGCACATTCCATACAGGCTGAGCCAGGCACCAGAATGAGACAGGAAGTAAGACCTAGCAGAGGCACCAATTTTCACCCCCACCTAACACCACTTAACTTTTCTCAGCCTCAGTTCCTTGTCTGCTAAGCCAGGAAGGAGTCGTTAGGAGAAATAATGGGTCAGGTTATGTTGATGGCATTTCAATAACCACCTGGTGCTATATACCAACTATTCTTATTAAGGCAAATATGATCATTAGAGATCTACTGAAAACTAACTCCCAAAGCAGTTTCAAATTAGAGAGGTCACCCCAGGCCACACTGATAAAATCGAGAACTTTTTGAGTGTAGGAGTCTTTCAGCCAGATCATGAAGAATTCTTTCCTTCCTTATCAGAGTGAACAGCATAATATTAAACTTCTGAGGGCTTACTGTGTGCCAACAACAACTGCCGAGCAGTCTCCATGGATTACCTCATTGAACGAAACCCTAGTCTGATTCTAGCAACTCAGGAGCTGCAGGTCCTTGGGAAAGCTGTGGCATCTGGTTCTCTGTCTCCACATCTCTAAAATGCACATAACACCTACCTGTCTACCTCTGCAAATTGAGATACTATTCACTGGCAAATAACTCCCTTGCAGTTCACTTACCCTTGTATTTCCTTATTTGGAAAAGCTCCAATTTAAAACTGCATTTTGATTTTTCCCAAAAAATACAGGTCTATCATGTTGCATTTTCAGTTGAATAGAATTTTTTTTAAATAGCATGTAGGGTGAAGAGAGAAAGAAGGGGAAGTTTAAGAAAAAGGGATTAGATTATAAAACAAGATCACTAAAATCTTATTTTCTTTTCCCACAGTGCAGGGACTAGTGTTACGATATTTTTTTAGAACTCAATCTCAGGAAATTTATAGATGAATGTCTAGGAACTAAGGGATCAAGAAGGAACAACATGTAGCAAAATTTCCTAAATATAAAATCACCGATAACCTTATATGGCAAACAGAAATTCCATGATGCTAAGTTTGGGGTCCCCACCTTTCAAGGGAAGATAAGAATATACCTATTTATGCACCTCTAAATATATTTCCATTAGGTGTTGTAGGAATTCTCTGAAGAGTAATTAATGCTAAAACCAGGGTAAGAGGCTTTAGAATCACCATAAATTATAATGATAAGATAACATAAGAGACTTTTCCTTTACAGGTTTAAAGTCTAAATCACTGTTTCTCTATAGCCGCATTTTTGACATTTTGGGGCCCAAAAATTATTTATTGTAGGGGGCAATCTTGTGTACTGTAGGACATTTAGCAGTATCTTTGGCTATAAAAGCAACGTGACAATCAAAAATGTCTACAAACATTGCTGAACGTCCCCTGGGGGCAAAATCTTCAGAAAGTAACTCACATCAACTTTGTTTTTCCTTCCTTCTTGTTGTCTTACGTGTCTTAGAGCTCTACAGAATTTTTTGGCCAAAACCCCATAAGTAAAATATAAGTGTCTTAGTTGTCTTTGATTACAACTTCACCTTGAATCAATGTTCATTCCCTGCTGATACTGGCAGTAGACTCAATGGCTTAATCATATTACAAAATTATAGCTATATACCATTACAAATTCTTTGTCATTAACAGCTTCTGTCAAGAGGCATCATAACCAAATTTTCAAATGTCACAGGACCATAAGACAAATCATGCAACACAAAAGTACATGTGAGAAAATGACTGCCACGTACAAAGCGTCTTACTAAAAATAAAGTGAGAAGTGTTAAATGCCAAATAAAAAGCAAGCCAGAAATGAACAATCTAAGCCTGCAAAAGGTGATGCACATTTCTCTTTAACCTGGTTCTTACCAAAAAGAAAGCATTCATGTTATAGGCAGCTATTTTTCCATCACAGGATGTTGAGCAATAATGATTTTTCCAGGTAAGTGTTCCAAGCTTGACAACATACACGATGTCCAGAGGAATATCACCCAGAAATATCACTTGTTTCATGTCTATAATCATTTACAAACATGTTTATAAACATGAGATGAATTCTAGATTAAATATCTATACTCAATCCAATCTAAATCTTTTTTTGTTTTCACTGCAGATCAATTTAAGAAAAACACTGGTAACTGAGAGAATTTTTTTTTAATCCCAAATAATATATTTTAATTGCAAGTGGTCTAAAATGCACTTCAGTTTTCTGAAGATACATCTGTATTACTTTCCATTATTTGACAAGTCATGCATTATTCATCAGTCTCCATTTACAGACAACCTTGCTTTATTTGTGTTACCTTGGCAGTAAACGGCATGGGGAACAGCCTTTAAAACAAATAGTGTACTATGCAAGCAGCAATCTTGAAATGGTCTACAGAAGGCATTTGCTGCTGCTGGCTCTGGCCCAGGAAAACCCTTAGCTTGCTGAGCCTCAGCATTCGGGTTTTTCTCTTCTTTTCTTAACCCAGTCATACAGTGTGTTCCTAAGAGGGAACAGGTAGAGCCATTGGAATAGCTGTACAGGTTTACATTCGCATGAAACACCTGTACTCAGTGTATTCGTATCCCCTTCAAGAAAAACAACCTGCTTACATTATAAAGCCTTATTTACCAAAGAAAATTCCTCTGAAAGTTATCATTCAAAATGCTTGATACTGCAAAGATTTGTTTATCAAGTTAAAACAGCTTTCCCATGATGAATTGAGATTAGCAGATGCTTAAGCGTCATGCTAAAAATTGCCTTGTTCACCTTCCCTGATGGAAACGCTTTAAGCACACATGAGAAACCGGATAGGAGATAATGTGCCTTTGCAAGGCACACTTAAAGCATGCTGGGAGCCTGATTTTTAAAGTCAATGGCTGAGAAGTACTTGAAATTAGTTGCCCATTGCTCCTTTACATCTTTGACATCTAGAATGGCTATATTGCTTTAAATAGTAATTTTTAGTACCTTCCAAGATCTCCACATTATCAAAATTATCCAAAGCTATCAAAATTAGAGAACCTGGGACTTCCCTGGTGGCACAGTGGTTAAGAATCCGCCTACCAATACAGGGTACACGGGTTCGAACCCTGGTCCGGGAAGATCCCACATGCCGGGAGCAGGTAGACCCACGCACCACAACTACTGAGCCTGCGCTCCAGAGCCCACGAGCCACAACTACTGAGCCCGCGAGCCACAACTGCTGCAGCCCACGCAACCCTAGAGCCCGTGCTCCGCAACAGGAGAAGCCACAGCAATGAGAGGGCTGCACACCACAATGAGGAGTGGTCCCGCCCCCTCGCCTTAGCTGGAGAAGGCCTGTGCGTAGCAGCGAGGACCCAACGCAGCCAATAATTAATTAATTAATTAATTAATTATTTTAAAATTAGAGAACCTTAAAGATGAAAAGGCTTAGGCAGATTAAAATATTTGACATACTTAAATTTTCTTCTTGATCAAAAAGTATTAGCAGTTAGGTTCACAAAGTTACAGAAAGTTTGATATAAAATATTAAGATGTAGCCAGCTGGTTATTCTGCACTAAGAATGACTAAGTCTACATAGTTAGTGTGTACTAAAAGTAAAAAAGTATTTATTTTAACTCAGTTATTCTAGAAAGGGAAAATATTTCCAGGAAATTATTTTTATCATATTTTATGTCTACCAGGTGACTAGAATTAAACAACAGGACAGTCGCCCCTCCGTATCCGAGGGGGATTGGTTCCAGGATCTGCATCCTCAGATACAGAGGACCAATGTAGACAAAAACTGGGAATTAGTTCTAAATATAGTCCTTGCAGCTATATTGGAAACTACCAATATTTTAATTTTTTTGCAGTTTTGGAAGTCTGATTTGCCTTTATAATACAGCCATGTTATAAAATTTTACCCTAATCAGGAATCTGGAAAATGTTTCCAAATCCTACTAAGGGAAGACTAATGCCACTCACCATCCCAACTAACAAAGCTCCCCTTGAACTGAGAGTACATAGATAATGCCAACTGCATGCATTCCAACCTCAAAGTAAATGCTAATACTCTTTTTCCATCATAGATATTCTAAAACGTAGTTATTTGGGCTTCAACATCCAGAAATGAGAGGTTTGGTCTATGCAGCAATCAGATACCAAAATAAATACACCTAATCTCAGGCACGTGTTTTTGTGACTTTTAATCAACTCCTTAAGGAAAAAAAAAAAAAAGCGCCTGAATTTTCGACTTCTAATAAAACAAACTGTTGCTGTCCTATAGGACTTCATGCACTGGGCACTCAGACAGAAATATTACCATTTGGTTGCAGAATTAAGAAAGATTTCCCATTTTTTAAGTCTCATGCACAGCACAGAGCACCCCCATTTAGTGACATGCCAGGATAGAAGTGCAAGGACGTATTACACAAATGACAAAAAAAATGCAGATTTTTTTTTTTTACTGTGAACCACAAAACTTACCCGTTCTCACCATAAATCTTTTGAAAGAGTCTAAGAAATCAGAAAACCAAAAATTAAAAATCATTTTTTCTAGTTGTGTTAGTTTCTAAATCAGCATCTTTAAGAGTTGAACTAGAGATGGACAAATCTCAAAAGGCTGTTTCTTCAGTCACATTCTTGATCATGTCTCAAAATCTCATTGATCTCATATCTCAAGGAATTCAGATTAAGATAAAGAATTTCCTGATTCCCTTTGAACCAACAAACCCATTTTTAAAAAAGCCTCCTGTTGCCAGGAACTAATAAGTTAGATTTAGATCTACTAATTTCATTTAACCCAATATTTGTCGATCCCAAAGTTCAACAAACTGAACAGTCATCAAAACAGCAAGCTGCATAACACATAAATGCAGACTCATTATCAAAATGGCCATAATTACATACATGTAAAGTGTAGCAGACAGCAAATAACATTCATGCATTTTAATAATGTTTGCACTGAACTTTAAACCATAAATTTAAAAAGTCACACATCGATAGTCCAGGAAGTCTAGGTCAAAATCAAAAATCAAAATCAAGTTAAATGAAACTTGCAATGCCATATTTTAAGGGAAATTTTTACACGAAAATCATGTACTCTGAAATATGAGAAACATGTAAAACCAAACAACCAGACTGTTTCAGAAATGCCTGGACGTGAGAATAAAAGTCTGTAAATATAACTGGAAAACATTTTCGTGAAACATCTATGTGGCAGAATAGTATCAGAGTCATCCTTAAGGCCAAGGGCAACATTTGTGTATACACCTTCTTAAACAGGTCTCAGAGAGGTGATGTTGAGACATGCAAATATGGAATTGCACTTTTTCCACACAAAGACTAAAGGTTTCTCAAAGCAAAATCAATGTTTTACAGGATGCTTCCAAATGGCTCATGACATGCAGAGCTGGGCAATACGATGCCACTTTCTCACACAAGAAAAGTCACACAAGACCATCCATGACAAGCAAATCCTTGCAGAAACACACTCTGACCTCTCCACCATCAGCCGCTTCCTGTGCCTAAGCCTGCTGGCCTCCCGGATGGACTCCCACTTCTGTAAGTCGGCCTCGCTGCAGGGACCAGGGGTGAACCTGGCTGGAGGCACAGTAGTTCCCAGCTTCCAAGATTGGATCTTACGAGCCAACATGTCATCTTTCTTCTGCCTCCAGGAAGGAACTAACACTCTACAGCTATTACTTTTTTCTTTAGGTGGGCATGTCCTTTCAAGTACACAGAGAAATTTTGCTTGAATTTCCGGAGGAAGAGTCCAGGGTTCGGGGAAAGGGATGGCTGGTATTCTATCTGGGGCTCCCGACAGAGGCACCTCTTTCTTGTGTGCTGGAATGCGGCGAACAATCATATCATCTTTTTCTAGGTCTGGAAGCACAAGTTCACCTTCCCTACACTGCAGTATTATATCTTGCTCTACAGGATTGTCTTGCCCAGAAAGCCTTCTTAAGTCTTCGAAAGCCCGAAGAACACATGGGTTTGCATGGAAAGGAATGCGGCGAACAATCATAGCATCTTTTTCTAGGTCTGGAAGCACCAGTTCACCTTCCCTACACTGCAGTATTATATCTTGCTCTACAGGATTGTCTTGCCCAGAAAGCCTTCTTAAGTCTTCGAAAGCCCGAAGAACACATGGGTTTGCATGGAAAGCCCCAGTCTTTCTGACAAAGAAATCATCATTCTCTAAGTCAGGATCCAGGGCTGGCATCTCCAGGTCATCTGGTCTATATCCTGGTGTGTAAGAGAGATTCTTTCTGCGTGTTATGAGCCTTGGGCCAGCAGTGGGATCAATTTTGATATGTGTTTCGGAAGACAAGATGTCATCAGAATATGTCTGGAGGGCCTGAAGTAATAAAAACTGACTGAAGCATAGAAAAGAAAAAGGAAGGGAGAATCTTATTAAATTTGGAGAGAAAAGGTAATTAGGTAGCAGACCAACTAGCCAGTCACTGTGGGTAAATTATTTTGGGCGGCCATGGGAGGGACTCTTGCTGGGAAGAAAGACCAGCATTTAGTGCCGTAATCCATGACTTTCCTGGATACCATTTAAAGGAATAAGAGCAGAGTGCATCTCTCAGTGGGCACCACTGAGGCCAAGTGATGGGGCCAGAACGGGAAGAGAGTGAAGCTCCCTGATATACACAGTGTTCCCTTCCACCCCTTCCTCATCCCATTGGCCACAACGACCTAAGTCCCCTCCCAGAGAAGCAGCAATGATCTTCAAGAGCTGAGCAATAAGCACTTTATGCAACAGGCACAGGTGGTCAGCAGATTAAATAAAATGCTCTGAAGCTTTATTAAAGACTCCTGTGAGTCTTTTCTTTGCATTTTCCCACGTCTTGCCTGTCCCAGTGTCTGTCTATAAGTTATTTCCTTTCTCCACAGCTCCACACATAGCACAACTGTAAAATTAGGTCAACTGCCTAAGAAGCCTTTTAGAAACGGTTTTCCCAAGAACTGTCTATGCCACTTGTAAATATATACTCTCTCGTACGTGACTATGCTAAAGAATATTTAATCCTATAGAATTTCAAGCTCACATGCTTGCACAGAAAGCACGATGTCATATGTTATGCTTTTATAACTAAACATTAAGTGCCTAAGTGTTCATGACTCAGCATGTCATGGTCAGAGGTTAAAGTAGCAACAGAAGCTGGCCCAAGTGTCACAGGCCAGACTCCAAGCAGGCGGGCTCATGCAGGCAGGTACACCTGGGCTCATCTGAAGCACCACTAGTTCTCCTGGCTGCATGGGTGTCCCGGGAGTTTCTGGTCCATTTCTTAGCCAGTTCCAGCAAGAGTGAACATCTTTGACAGTTGCTGTCTAGCCTATGATCTGCTTTTTGTATTCTACTAAAAATGGCGGAGCTTCTGTCAGAGCCTGAATCCTCATCGTCAGAGTCTGAATTCCTTCTACCGTGGAGTGACATAGAGAAAGGAAAGAGAAAAGAAGACAAAGAATTGGAGAACGATGCGACTAAAAATAATGTCAAGCTCTGGCTATGGAGAGGACTTTTTACGATCCAGATCCTAAAGTTTAAATTTAAACAGTAGTTTGTTCAGTTAGCAATTCTACAGATGTTGAAGGGAAATTAACCTCTCTCATGAAAAGCACACATAGAATGTACCCAGCCAGGGTACCGAATGGACACCAGAATAAAAGAAACATGCACAAAGACAAACCTGAATCCCTGAAATTCTTTATACCATGGTTTATAAGTTTCCCTTTTTATTCGTTTCCAGTTCACATCTTCTGGGATCCAGCATTTGGGAAGAAACTGATCAAAAGCATTCCCTGGGCTTGGCATGATTGGGCTTAGCTTTCGCACATAAAGATCATCCCTTACAGTGTTGGGTATGCTTGTCTTTTCTTCTGCCTCTTCCAAATAACAAGAGGAGTCTGAAGTTTCTTGTACTGTTGGCCAGTTCTCCACGTTTGTGCCCCAAGTTCTCCTCTCGTTACTGTTCAAAACATCCAACCAGTTAAGACACCGCGTGAGCAATTTGTGACACAGAACACAAGAGGCATGCTTTCTGTCTCACAAAGTTTACACTGTGAATGCAGCCAATTAGTTCCCATTCTCATCAGTCTCATCATTCCAGCTCCTACAACAAAGTTAAGGCATTATAATAGCATCTCATTTTAATTAGAGAAGAGCTTGATACAGAAGGGCCAAAGACAACTACAAAATGTGTTAAAAGAAAGAGACAAATTGCAAACCATCTGGGGTGTTACTTTACATATGAAAAATCAAGAGCATAATAGACATTCCAATCCAAGAGAAATTTTTCTGACCTCATCATTCTGTATAGCCCAGTGGCTAATGGGTCAGCAGGAGAAAAGATTGGTGCACAAGACTTAGGAGAGATGCTTTTCGAGATGAAACCCTCGGGCCTCTTTTTCGTTTGGAATCTACGGTTGGCTAAGTCATCCAAAACTACATCCGGCAACCTCCGTTCCTCCTCCGAGTCTGATCCACTTTCAGAACCATACACCTCCTTCTGATAAGAAGCTGGATTCGAAAAATCATGCTTTGCTCTGCTGATTTGATGGGAAATAAAAGGATTCTTTTTGTGTCCACTGAGCTCAGTCAACACAGAAAAAAAAAAAAAATGGAAGAAAGTAACACAGCAGAGCTCACAATGAACAATGTAAGTCATCCAGGAAGCTGAAAGATAACCAGTGAGCTAAAGGCATGCATCTAAAAAAAGAACCGGCAAATCATACGCTGACATTCTAAAACGGAAGAAATCTCTTCAAGATATGGTTGACTAAAAATATAGGTAAGTAAAAGAAATATTTCATTAGTGAAGTTTTATGTTATCTGTGAAATACATTTTAAGGACCATTCCTTTTTACCAAATTTAAATATCCTGGCAAATTCACAAAGCAGACTGAATTTTAAAATTCAACAATCAGCTCGCATCCCAGTACCTTGGAAATGTTCCATCGGCTTCTGTGTAGACTGGGCTTGCCCAGCTTCTTCTGTTATCCTCATTTTTGTCCAGCTTTTTCTTCCTTAAGGGCGCCGGCACATAGGATGGCTGTCTACCCTTGTTGGGTAAAAAGCGATTAAATGGTAAAGCAGACTTTGGTTCAATAGCCGAAATCCTTCGATATGACATATCATCTTTATTATGGTCCTGCATTTTGAATGTAAATTCAGAATCTGTGTCACTTTCACAACCTATTAAAAAAAAAAAGGCACAAGAATTTGCTTTACTCTCCAGATTACTCGTCTAACTGAAACCCACACAGCATGCCTGCTTTTGTCTTTCCCTTGGAAACCCAGTGCTCTACTGCTAACTGCAGGGAATATTTTTAGAAATTTGTCATGAAGTTGTGATAAGACCCATCAGGAAGAACTTGCTTTGCATACTGGAGATGCATGCAGTACATTCTTTCACTGTTGCACATTCTAAGCAGAAAAAGTCCCGGTTTACGGCTGAACCCCTTTTCTTCCTTGCCCTCACGATTTGTCATAAAATTTGTTGCTGGAATACATGTGAATAAAATCTAGCAATCAAGTCAAAGATGCCTAAAGTGAGATCTGAATGTAGTTCGAGGGAAACTCAGTCATTTAAAATAAATCATGCAGTCATCCAAAATTTCTGTGAGGCGAGAGACAAGGGAAGACAAAGAAAGAGATGCAAAAAGCACAAAGAAGTTTGATAGATCCTTGTGAGACCCCTATGAGCAAGAATCACACATTACACATGAGGTTGGACCAAATGACTTCTAATGTCCCCCCCAAATATTAAGAGAACACAGAACTCGAGGCTTTTTCTGACGGTGGTCACGGAAATATTGGGAACCTTGTATTTTGATTCAACATCATTTACACACAAATTTGAAAGAATACACTTTGATACACCTCAAGGTCAGAGAGATACAGACACTAATCTGTTCTCAAAAAAGTCAGTTTGTTCTTTTAAATACATGGGAAGAAATGAGGGTACAAAACATTACAATAGATACGATATAGATACGATAGATACAAGCTTCAGCTGCCTCCCATTCTGCCTTTTTCTTCCTGCCTCTGTGTATTTGTTAAGAAACTTTGCAAATGTTGCATGCTTCCCGCCAGAGCTCTCAGAGGCTGGCTGTGCACAGTACCTGAGGACCTGGGAGCTGTGGGCTCTAGGCAGGAGCACACCTGCAGGGTAAACCTGAGCCAAAGGCAGTCTCGTCCCCTCCCCCGTGCCTGGCAGGAGTCTACAGTAGTAACAGAGAGGAGGCTACGGGAAGCGGTTGAACACACAGCTAGGAGACCTTGAGACGGGAACAGGGAAAGGAAAGTCATGGAAAGAAAGGAGGAAGTATAGCAGCTATGACCAGAAGGATTAATAGTCAATAATCTCGCGCTTTGTTTTTACTGCCTTCTAGATTAGTACATTTTTTGAAAATAAGAGAGAAAAGTCAAGGATTCTTGCTAAAATCTTGTACATGTGAAATTTGTACAAAAGGTCCTTCTACTTCGGAATTTTTTAAGCTACTTTTTTTTTTTTTTTTAGTCCAGTACAGTATGCTGCGGAGTAGGCAAATATTCTTGATCTGGTAAGAGATATGGATGAAAAATGCCACCTGCCGTATCAGTAAACAAAGGATATTGCGGCCATCCAGCCAGCAGCCACTGCACCTGTCCCCGACTGTGCACCCTGAGGGGATTCAGGATGGAGAAAAGCAGGCTACTCGCCCCATATAGTGAAGGTGCATGTCAAAGGAATGATTTCAGTGAGCCCAGACTCTTTCATCTTTCCATACATAGGAAAGCCTGAAATTCATTAACTTGAGATGTCTGGTTTTTCTTTAATTAACAGTAATCTTTTGATGTTCTGACTACCTGAGTGAGTTGTTTTTTGTTTGTTTTTTTGTTTGTTTTGTTTTACAAAGACTCCTATTTACCCCGGCTCCACCCTTACCTCTTCAGAGCAGTCCCTCAGAACTGAGACACTGTCTTCTGGGCTTAAGTCCTCAGCAAGTCTGCTGAATAAAACATAATTCTCAACCTTTAGATTGTGTTTTTGCTTTTTTTTTTTTTTTCAGTCAACAGAGGCTTCATATAAAACTAAGGAATATGACTTTGCAATTCTGTTATAACCTAAAAATATTATCTTATCATCAATATTACATTGATCATCAATTTGGGACTACAACCTGGTAGGTAGCAGAATTTCAACATACTGATCACAAAAACGTTTTATCATCCTGGTGGCCCCCAGGATTTTCTTTTTTTTTTTTTCCTCAGTTGCAATTACCAAGTCTTCACTTCCACCCTCTTCAAACATGGTCTGCGACTCCTTTGCCAAGATCAGGAAGCAGCGTGACAGTAACCCTCTGCTTTTCCTCACAAGGGCCAGGAACCCAACCCAACAAGTATCTGAGGACAGTGCTTCAAGTCACACCACTGGACCACTGCATTTGAACTGACTGGAATCTGTATACTCCCACATGCCTTCCATACGTGTCCCTTTTATTTCTGTTGGTCAGATATAAATTTAAACATCACATGTGTTAGGTTCTTCAGTCAGGACAAAGTAATATAGTGGGTTGAGAATTTCAACCTCTGCTTTTTACAGCTTTAATCACTCAGATGAATTATGAACTCAGAGTCATTTCCTTAAAACTATTATAAGAGTCATCTGGGCTATGAAAACATTAAACCTAGACAGCAAACAGCCAACAAATACAGCAGTAATTGTAAAGGTTAACTCAAATAGCCATTCACTTTTGAAACGTTTAAATGCCATGACTACTCAAAAAGCTAAAGAATTTGGGGTTTTGTTATAATATTTGTGGATTCATTCTATTTTTGAAAAACAAATTCATTGTACATTGCTTTTATGTAAATTTACATTAAAAGAACAACAGCAAATAACGGTTGAATTCTAGCTAATGATTGCATGCTGAAGCATTTAGGACAACTGTAATGTTCTCTGAAGTGCCTCAAAAAATAAGATGGATAATTAATGCATAGAAAATGAGAGCTTGGTATGTGAGAAAGCAAGCACAGTAAAATGTTATGGTAAAACTAGGTGGCAGGTACATGGGTATTCATGTAAAATTCTTCCAACTTTGCTGATGTTTGAAATTTTTTATAATAAAAACATTAGGAAAAACATTTAAAATAAAGAATAATAATCAAAATAAACAAGCAAAGTAAACTCTCTAACAATCCGGCAAAAACTCACAACCAGAACCCTCAATTTTTCATGCTGATGGTGGAAGCATAGAAACAGTTCAAGAAACTTCACTTGTGGTTTCAATCTAGTCAATTTGAATTGCGAGAGGCATACAGTCAGAAATTTCTGACACCACCCAGTAGCCAGAGGAAAAAGACTTGCATTTAAATAACAGATTTGACCATGATATTGGGATTTTGAAAGAAAGTTCCTTCCCACAACAGAAAGACTTTCATTAACACGTTCCTTTCACACTTGTCCTGGGTTTACTCTGACCCTGACAGACGCAAAAGATGTTTTCTAACACAACGCCAGTGTTGTTACTTAATCAAAGTTTAGCATAATATTCTATCATGACAGATATCAATCATTTCTTTTCTTAGGTAGAGATAATTATTAAAATATTTTCCTGTTTTTTCTTAGAAGTTGTTGTTTTTTTTTTTAATCTTTTGCAGAAAAGTAAGAAAAGGGAAGAAAGCTTATTCAGGAACTAGAACAGACTTTTATAGAATCTTATTTACTTTCTTTTTTATGTTTAGATATAGCAGTTACTAGGCCTCAGAGGCAGAGATTATTAAACCTGAATCTGGAGAGAAAAGAATTAGGATAGATTATCGCTGATAAAACAGGTCATAGTTAACTGTCTCTTCCCCAAACTCCTCCAAAAACAGAAGATTAAAAGAAGTGAAACTATCACCCCTCTAGTGGCAATATAGTGAGGAAGGAACAAGAGAGACAGAGAGACAGAAAGAGAGACAGAGAGAAGGAAGGAAGGGAGGGAGGGAGGGAGGAAGGAAAGAAGGAAAGAAAAGACACCTCCAATTATATTTCCATCTCTACAAAAATATACTTCTTGGCGAAATTTTTGCCTCAATAGTTTCACTCCTTTTTTCTACTCTCTCCAATTCCCCATTTTCTCTCAATACACAAAGAAATAAAAATAAACCGTCCAGTCCAAAACGTAACTCACCTTCACGTGCCCCCCTCAACGTGATATCAGAGGAGCAGCTTGTGAATGACCTAGACCCCAAAGAGTCCAAGCTTTCAAATGAATCTTCTCTCTTATAGTTGCCTGGAGGAGCAAGAAATTCTCCACGCTCAGCGCACCAGATATCACCGTAACCACTGTCTCTGCCAGTCCTCTTCAGGAAGCTGGACTCTTCAAGTGCCTGAAGAACATTTTTTAAAGACTTGTAAGTTAGCATACACTTCCAAAAATGTAATCAGTTATCGCTTATTTATTTGCAATAGCTCATGTTGTGCTGCATTTGCTAGGCGAGGCAATGAGACTGCCCCATTAAATATCAGAAAAAAATGTGATAAAAATCAGAATATAAATCTGTAAATGTTTTCCCACAACTAATACTTGGCACTCATGTGACTATATGGAGGTATTCAATATTATTTAATAAGGTAATAATAAGGGGGAACATTTTAATAAAAGAAAAGCTAATAATTAGAGTAACATTCAAAGGCTAAAATCAATTATTATCTACAGTTTTCTAGCAATAAACATGAAAGGAGGCAATGAGAAAAGCCAACCTTAATTTTGATATCCAAAAGGAGAAAAGTTAATAAGATTATATTCAGCCTACCTCCAGGAAATATTAGGGCTCATTTTTATTAAATAAACAAAAACACCATAACAAAGTTCTTTAACAAAAAGAAAAGTTTTAAAAGAGAGAGGGGCAAGAATAGCAGGCGTACACTTCACAAATTCATTTATTTTCACTCAAAACCTAGATGTGAACCAAGGAATGTAGACTTGTTTGTTGAATATAAAACATTTTCCCTGGATCCAAATGAAATATTTCTTTAGCTCATATAACAGCTATACAGAAATATGTAAATGTTATTAACCATAGGTTTGTAAATCATATAGAACTTACTAAAATAAGCATTTTTAACTAACATTCCTCTAGGAAAGTTAATAGCAAAATACAATTGGACTTTTTAAAATTAGCATGTAAGTAGAATTTATAAAGCCTTTAGCATAGTTCTAATACATAGTACTCAATGAATAGCTAGTAACTATAATTTTTTTTAATATGGTGAAGGTAATTTTGTTACTATAGTAAAAATCAGAAATGTTACTTTCAGGTGATGATACTAATACAGAGATAGGAATTCCTAGGTTCTTTTTTTTTTTTTTTTTTTAAAGCAGGGGGTTTTCCTTTTTTTTTTTTTTTTTTTTTAAAAAAAAGGGTTTTTCTTTTTTTTTTTTTTTTTTTAAAAGAAGGGGTTTTCCTTTTTTTTTTTTTTTTTTTTTTAAAGCAGAGGGTTTTCCTTTTTTTTTTTTTTTTCCTTTAATTTTATTTATTTTTGGCTGCTTTGGGTGTTCGTTGCTGTGTGCGGGCTTTCTCTAGTTGAGGTGAGCGGGGGCTTCTCTTCATTGCAGTGCACGGGCTTCTCATTGTGGTGGTTTCTCTTGTTGCGGAGCAATGGCTCTAGGCACGCGGGCTTCAGTAGTTGCAGCATGCGGGCTCAGTAGCTGCGGCACGCAGGCTTAGTTGCTCCACAGCGTGTGGGATCTTCCCGGACCAGGGATCGAACCTGTGCCCCCTGCGTTGACAGGAGGATTCTTAACCACTGCGCCACCAGGGAAGCCCCAGGAATTCCTAGGTTCTTTAACAACCAAATGTAATATGTCAGCTTCCATTAAATCATTATTCAGAGAAAAAGCTATGAAAGAGAGTTGGGAGACAATTGGGATGTTCTGAATATAGACTGGATATTAACTAATGGGGAATTCACGACTGTTCTTTGGTCTAGTAGACATCACAGGTATATGGAAGAATATTCTTACTGTTAAGAGATGCATGCCGAGTATTCAGGGGTGAGTTGTCTGCAATTTACCTTGAAATGATTAATTAAAACACAGATGGATACATAAATAAAGCCAATATGGGACATGTTTAATGATTAAATCCGATGGAACACAGGTGGGTATTTGTTGTACTATTCTTTCAACTTTTAATTAGGAACATTCTCAAGATATGAAAAAGCTGAAGAAAGAATGTTTACAATGAATAATTAGCAGCTGTGTCTCAGGCATACTTTTGGCTAAGACTGGATGCTAATTCGTGGTTGAAATGTTTGACAAGTGTTTAAGTGCCAGTAGGATCTAGTAGATTTATGTGAGATTTCATATATTTTAGACGACACACACACCCTGGAATTAGAGTTGACATCCTAGCATGAAAATGAAAGTGCCTGCTTTGTACCCTATTTCCAAGCGGATAGGGAAGCTGGGCTTAGTGCTGGTACCACCAAAATACTTCTTAAAAAATATAGATTTTAAAATTCTAAGTAAATCTTTAGATTTACCAGGTTTCTTAGACACACACTTGTTGAAGCCTTAGAGTTCAACTCAAGGAGATGATTTTTGACCTCGTAAGTGTTAAAGATAATGATGATGTGCCACCATGGTTATAAAAGAACTTAAGTTTGGCCCCGTTGCCTGGTTCCTCCCCCTAACCCCCACCAAGGACTTTACTCTGACAAGTCACCTAAAATGAGTCACCTACAACTTATAGGATGACTAAGGGTCAACAGCTTACTGCAAGTATTTTTTTTAATATATATTTTGGATTGGCCATTAAGCATTATCTAGTTAAGGGAGAAAAGTCTGATGAACACAATGATTTTGATTTTAACAGAACAGATACAAAATAGCTCATATATTCACGCACCTCTTATGGCTCTCCACACTCCATAATAATGGAATGGAACCACAACTATAGTTTTACCTATGAAAATTCTTTTTTTTTTAAATAAATTTATTTATTTATTCATTTATTTATTTATGGCTGCATTGGGTCTTCTGCGTGGGTCATATGGCTGTGTGGGCTTTCTCTAGCTGTGGCGAGCGGGGGCTCCTCTTTGTTGTGGTGCATGGCTTCTCACTGCGGTGGCTTCTCTTGTTGCAGAGCATGGGCTCTAAGCACACGGGCTTCAGTAGTTGTGGCATATGAGCTCAGTAGTTGTGGCCCACGGGCTCTAGAGCACAGGCTCAGTAGTTGTGACACACGGGCTTAGTTGCTCTGCAGCATGCGGGATCTTCCCAGACCAGGGCTTGAACCCGTGTCCCCTGCACTGGCAGGCAGATTCTTAACCACTGTGCCACCAGGGAGGTCCCTGAAAATTCTTTTTTATCTACTCTGATTTTGATACTGGTGACAGGAAGCAGCCTCGAATAAAGCATTCCCAGCACAAACACTCTACTAGGATGATTCAACCTGAGTCAGACTGCCATAAAAAGAACCAAAGGCTGTAATGAGAACACTAATGCAAGAGCCAAAGTCCTATGTTATTTTTAACTGGATGTTTTCTTAGCTGAAATACCTGTAAGGCAAGGCTTTGCCCTTGCTCAAATCCCTGCCACATTCATCCTTCAGAGCCTTGCCCTCCTCCATTGCACTGACCTACCTGTTCATCTGTCTACATCAGAGGGTTGTGCTGTAAGGATGGGTCATCAGCCTTGTATGAGTGTTTTCTCAACAACTAGTACAATGCTTGTGCATGGTATTATCTCAACTGTTATCTGAATTAACTGTTTTAAGGAATTTAAATAGGGTATTATCAAGTCTTTACAATTAGAAAATAAAAATCCAGAAGGAATACCCTAAACTTCTAGACTATAATCCCATCTCCCTATAGTGTATGTGGCTGGGTTCAGGCAAAACTATTTAGAGATCAGAGTAGTTATAAGGCAAAGTGATCATTTTCATCCTAAAACTTCTATCTTCCAATTATAGTAACTAACATTTATTACATCCTTACAATGTGCCAGAGACTAATGTTAAATGCCTGATTAATCATCATAAAGACCCATCAAGCAACTACTATTAATTAGATGATCATATATTATTTTGATGACATATTTTCTTCTGCACACAGCAGGTTCTCCTGCATAAATACCCCCATAGTGAAGTTAATTGTCCCATTTGAATATTATCAGTGAAGATTTGGCCAACTCTGGTCAGTGCTGGCACTTGAGATATAATGACTCATGGCAAGACAGTAAGATAAAGAAATGAGTAACTTCCATACATATTAATAGCCCTGAAGTACGTCTCTATTACACGTTAAGTTCATAATGAATATAGAAAGAGTTAGGTTATATAAAGTGCCTAAGAAAAAAAGTAAATTAGTATTTTGTTGAGTTACCTAAAATTAAGAAATAAATACGTATACCTATATCATATACCCTGGAAACTGCTCTGAAATACTTACTCCTTGTGGTGGCTTACAAGGCCAGCAAATGAGTAACAATCCTCTCCACCCATCCCAATCAGAGTCGCCATATATTATAGAGGGAGTAGAAGAAGGCAGAGGGCATGTGGAAAAAAGAGACGATGGGGAAAGGGGAAGATGAGAGGTAGCACTGTTAGAGTAGTTGTCTCATATAGATAGAGTTTCCTTACCTTAGTCAGAGCTTGTCCTAAAAGATTCTCAAATGCTTTCAAATTAAGATAGGGACCATTGTAGTAGGGGTTACTTTGTGCTTTTCTTCCCAGCCAGTACAAAGTTATCAAAACCTTTAAAAAAAAAAATTCCATGAAACAACAAGATCGGTCTATTTAGTAACTAATGGCAAGCTCAAATGCAAGTGAGCACTCTAGATAAAAGACAGTATCTACGGTTGAAAAGTAGATTTTCTTTTAAATTATGTAAAGGAGAAGGGTCACTAAAAATGTTAATTCTTCTTAGATTTCCATCTCTGAGCACATTCTCAGAGCAAAAGCCTAGACCCCAACAGGTATTTATACTCTACCGGTACACATGACGAAGGAAAAAATTTACGGTAAGAAAACATAAATTAAACTTTTAAAGTCATAGTTTTCCAACACTCTTACAGACTGCACACTTAACATAAAAAATTCTCGGCTTCCCTAGTAATGATATTGAGCTCTTATGTTTTTCAATAAAGCTGTCACATTTTTAGAAATTCTTCTAATATGCAGAATATTATAGATATAAATCTACATTGGGCAATTACCCAGAGTCCTTAAACATTTAGCGTTTTTCCTTAAAGTCTGATTTTGGTGGTTTCTGACTTGCTCTCCTAAAAATCCTACAGCCTATTCATTTGCCTTTACCACATTACTAACATGTAAGGACCCACTCCCTAGATTTAACCCACCTTCTTATACTATGAGGTCAGAAAATACATGTTTCAACCATATTTAAACACATTTAGAATTTGTTTCTAGCAAAACTTAGAAAAAGGATAGAGAATATATCAGGTATTTTTAGATCCTACTACCTTTTCACAGAACATGTAACTAAAAAAACCATTTATAATGTCCCATTAAATATATCTTACATTTTTCACTCTCCTATCAGTCTCTTCTTGCCTGTAAAGAAAAAAGAAAATATCCATTAGTAACATCTATGAACCTTAAATTGTTAATTATTAACTAGAAAAAACTCATTTGTATTCTAAAATTCTATGAATATTAATACCACCTGGAAGTTCAGAAACCTTGGTATATTATCCATCAGAAGGATTTTTCCATATTCATTGATTTCATGAAATATAATTGTCAGTTTTCTATAAAAAGCAAGGTTGTCTTTTCTTCATTACTTTATTCATTAGTCTGATTTTTTTTTTTTGCGGTACGCGGGCCTCTCACTGTTGCGGCCTCTCCCATTGCGGAGCACAGCCTCCGGACGCGCAGGCTCAGCGGCCATGGCTCACGGGCCCAGCCGCTCCACGGCACGTGGGATCTTCCCGGGCCGGGGCACGAGCCCGTGTCCCCTGCATCAGCAGGTGGACTCCCAACCACTGTCCCACCAGGGAAGCCCCAGTCTGATTTTTTAAATGTGTTATTTGCATTTATAAGTTTTCATTTTAAACAATGTTTAAACCCAATCAAAAGGGGGGAAAAAAATCAATGCGTGCTCACGGCAGAAACAAAAATCAGGAAACGGGGGAAAAAACCTTAAATAGGAAAAAACAAAAGTACTTTTGCCCTGAGTTTTCTTTTCCACTTTGCGTGAGGGTTTTTTCACTCAAGTTCCCCAGAGAAAATTGCTCAGAGACCAAACCTTGCAGATATTGAAAAGTGCAGTTTAAAGCATAGTCATGAATCTCTGCCTAAAGAGATTTCACTCTATTATAAGCATCATGAGTTTTCCCCCCACCTGTAAAAGGGCGTGACATTCGTGGGGAAAGTTATAGAGGCAGATGTCACCGCAATGTTGAAGACGAAAAAACATAAGCTAATTAACAAAGCGATGGATGACCCTAAACTATTGGTGCTTTCCATCAGAGACTTAAGCAGGATCATTGCTAATTCAGAGAGATGCAGGAGCCTGAGCTAGATGACCTCCAAGGTCGCTTTTCAGCCTAAGAGTCATAAGTAGTACATTTATAAGAAAATATATATGTATACACACACATCATGTGTGTAAGACATATAAAACACACATATATAACATATATACACAGGGAGACAAAGAAAAGGGGGAGAGAATGAGCACACAAACGGAGACAAACATTTAACTTAGCTTTCAAAGAATCCATGAAGACAGCTACAACCATTCCTTCCCATAAGATAAACATGAACTGAAATGAACTTAAGAACAACATTTGCCTCTCACCTACCCCCAAAACAGCATAACAAAAATAAAATCCGCAACCCTCACCCTACTGTGGAAATGTAAATTGGTCCAACTACTTTAATACACTTGGTAGCATCTATTCAAGCTGAATATACAGTATTTGCATATTCTGTGACCTAGTACTTCCACTCCTCGATATACACCCAACAGAAATGCTTACAGATGTTCACCAAAAGTCATATATGAGAACCTTTATAGAAGCACAATTCATCATAGAATAAATTGGAGCTACATCTATGTCTTCAACAGTAGAATGGATAAATTATGGAATATCTACACAATGAAATATTCCATAGCAATGAGAACAAACAACCTGCAGCTGTATGGTTCAATCTGACAAACAACGGGAAGTAAAGGAAGCCAAACAGAGCACAGACTGTATTATTCATTCAAGTGGAGAACAAAAACAGGCATGACAAAGATATGATGTTAGGAGTCAGGATACTGTTCACCCTGGTGGGGGAGGATGGAAGTGACTGGAAAAAGGTGAGGGGCTTCTAGGGTGCTGAAAATTTCTTATATTTTGATCTGTAAGCTGGCTATTTAAGTGAGTTCCATCTCTAAAGTCTGTGAATTGTACACTTAAAATACACATATAGAAAAAGATACATACTTCAAAAAAGCAAATAAATTTTACAGCCCAAGTACTTAAATCATAGCTTATCTCTTAAGTAAAAAAGAAAATCATCTTGTAAAAACAAAATCAACATTTTTCAAAGAAGTGGGGGGAAAAAAATCACTAGAAACTGACAATTAAAAAAATAAGAGTTATACTGGGAATTCCCTGGTGGTCTAGTGGTTAGGATTCAGCACTTTCACTGCCATGGCCTGGGTTCAATCCCTGGTCGGGGAACTGAGATCCCGCAAGCCACACAGCATGGGCAAAAAAAAAAAAGTGATAAAATATATAGCCTCTTTTTATATTAATGACCAACAAACACACTTCAGACATTAACCAAAGCACAAAGAACCATCAATACTCAATGAAAAGGATACATTAGGCTGAAAATCACCACACTCTTAACAGTCAATGCAAACCACCCCACTTTTCTCATAAGTACACTGAGGGCAGAAAGAGGAACAGAGCTCTCTTGAACCCCTGATCTCCTTTCCACAGCCCTCTCTAAAGGTTTCTAGTCCAACACACTCATTTACTTTGTATTATGATAAAGCAATAATTGTAAACGCAAGGTATGGCCTATTTTGGAATAAACACTCACAATAAGCAGTGACCTTGGCACTACAACCTTTCCCTCATTTCACAATCCCTTCTGAATATGAGCATTTATAACATGCTCTTGAACACAGTGACACACATGCCAGCCAAATTGCTGTTCTATCACTGAAATGTAATGCCAGGAATTCAAGTAGTCAATGATTTGCTAGAGTCAATAGAGGTCAACTTCTGACACACAACAAACACATCTCATTGTATGCAAGTTAGTAACCAGGCGGCTCCCTTCCCTGCTGTGGCCACAGGGCACAACCCCAAGGCATTCCAAATAGAGCAAGCGTGAGGGCAGAGGAGAAGCTCATGGTATCAGTCTCTCTATGAGCCATCCAAGATATTGCCTAACCCATCAGAACCCAAAATAAGACAGTCTGATCTACAAATAGGCTAATTCCCTTACAACAGATATTTCAACAGTTGACATGGTATAATTCCATGTTCAAAAGCATGGTCTTTGGGTCAGATGTAGGTTCCACTAGCTGTGTTCATCTCGGCAATTTACTTAACTCTTGAAGCTTCCATCTTCTTCTGGAGAAACTGCAAATAATGGCCCTTATTCCAGGACATCATATGAAAAGTACACAGGTATTTAGCAGAGTCCCTAGCCTCATGGTAAGTGCTCACCAAGCAGCAGTTATCACTAGACTGTAAGCTATGTGAGGGCAGGGCCCAACTTATTTACCAAGCTACCCACACAGGCTTCTTAGTGACGCCATGCTGGACCCCAATATTTAAGTTGCAACCAGCCTGGCTGACACTCCTCATCTGTCATCCCTGCTTTATTTCTGTATTTATAACCATCAACTGCATGCATTCGTTTATTATCTGTCTCTTCATAATCCAAAAGGAATTTTTGTGATTTTATTTACTGCCATATCCCAAGTGTCTTAAGACAGGGTCTACCACCTGACAAGTAGGTTAAAATATTTTATTAAAAATGCCTAGCACATGGGACTTCCCTGGTGGTCCAGTGGTTAAGACTCCATGCTTCCAATGCAGGGGGCATGGATTCGATCCCTGGTCGGGGAACTAAGATCACATGCCACTCAGCGTGGCCAAAAGCCACAAAAACCAAAACAAAACCTCTGAGTTCCTGAAGTTTTCTAAATTAATTATTTCCATAATTTTTTAAAAAGTGCCTAGCACAGTGCATGGCACACAGATGCTCACCAATACTAATCTGAACACATTTATTTAGCTTACAGAAATGTAAGTCAGCAAAAGAAAGCCTGAAATGATAAAAGCTCAGGAGATTCCTATGTGATGTCAAAGAACAGTTAAATTACATTAGCTTACTTAAAACATCCAATTTTGACTCAAACTGTATTGACACTCATACCTGGGCTTCTTTTTTAAAGCTATTTTCTTTAAAATTGCAATAAAAGGAATTCTTTATAATCATAGATCAATAACCCCAAAAAGGCACAGGTTCAAAAACAGAGGGCAGCTTCAAAGTGCTGAGTACAAAGATTAAGTGGTGGTCTCTGGGATAAAAAAGCTTCCCAGCAGAGCTCTGAAAGACAAAGGCCAAAAAAGAATCCAAACCTTCCTTGAAACCCAAATTTACCATAAAAAGGGACAGAGATGAAACATTAATAGTTTGAAAAAATGACTATGTTGAATATGTTGCTAGCCTTCTCTGTGTATTACACACTAATTTAAATATTGTTTAATATTCAAGAAATAGCAAGTGTGACATAGATATCATCTTCCACTCCGTTAATGGAATAGCTCTGGTAATTCTTCACTACCAGACAAAGGACCAGAAAACATGTGCTCATCACAGAGCTCTAAACTTTCTGCCAGAGGCCAGGAAGAAAAGAGCCATAAACCCTCAAGTAAGCCCATCAGTGAACAAGATCCATCAGTAACCACCTTATCCTAACTTCAAGGTATACTTAGAGCCAGGAAACTCTAGGTCTGATCCTTTCTTTATTCAAAGCTGTTTTAAAATACTCGTACAAATCCTCCATCAAGGAGCACCATCTCTAAGGGAAGGACCAGGGAAATAAAATCCATGTGGATGCTCTGGCTCTCATCGGGAGACCCCATTCTTCACCGAGGCAGCAGCGTGGCTAAGAGGGCAGGCTCTGGAGTCAGACCTCCTGGGTGTGATTTCTGGCTCCACTTTTGGGAGCTGTGAGAATGTGGCAATGCTTATCTAACTCTGTGTCTCCATAGTCTCACTGGAAACCACATACCCATTTCACTGGGCTTAAGACACACATTTGAAAAGTACTGAACCCAAGCAGATCAAGTAAAGGAGACACTTCAAGACTATCCTCCAATTACCCATCTCAACCACACAGTACGGTGGAAGGGAAGTGGCGAGAGGACAGGCAAATTTCCCCACACATAGTATTTTCCCCCTAGAAGAGACATTTCTGTGAAGCACAATTCAAGACACTCTT